GGACAGGGGTCATGTCATTTTTGCTACTCAGGATGAGAGTATAGCACAGTGGTTAGAAGCTGGGGCTTAGACCTAGACAAAGCTAGATTTGAATTCTGACTCTACCTCTTATTGGTTATTTGGCTGTCATTTCTTCTCTCTGAGACTCAGTTTTGTCTGTAAAAATGAGGATAGTTACAGCACCTGCCCTCAAAGGATGTCTGGCAGAGTCAACGCTTAGTAAATGTGAGCGATTATCTGTATCTCTGGCTATGAATACGGTGCCTGGCACAAAGTAGGATATCGGAAAAAGCCCAGGGAGCATAAGCCCCACCAAATCTAGTTGCGACTGGCATTCTGTAATAAGTACATAGGCATAAAATCCTGGTGTTCAGGGGTCCTCAACCCCAGGACAAATTCCTGAGTTCCTGCCCAGAATCCCCAGGTCCTGCCAGCAAACAGCCTTCTTCTGCTTGCTTGTGAACAGCTGATGCTGAATCCACACTCAAATACTTGCTGTGCCTCCGTAAGGTGAGGCAAATCCCAAAATAAACCAGAAGAAAGAGAGACAGGAAAATCACTTCCAGGAACAAGCAGCTCCCAGTGAGAATGCTGACAGTAATAACAGGCAGGCAGGCTTCAAGAGAGTGACCTACAGCTGTTCCAGGACTGAGTGGCTGGGGCCCAATTCCCACCTGGCCTAGTACGAGGGCCCATGAAGTCACGGGTTGGTCTCCTGGTATTCCAGGGCACAGCAGGCAGACTGGAAACCTGCCAAATGAGCTGGGACTACAAACAAAACAGCCCATGTGCCCAAGTACTTTTTAGTTAGAGGCCTGGGGACAAAGAGCTGTGATCCTCCTTAAGACCTAAGGGCACAGAATGTACTGAACTAAGGTCAATAAATGCCTTTTTTTTTTTTTTTTTTGAGAGGTTTTTGTGGTAGGGCGCGTGCACTCGCCAGAGAGACAGAGAGAAATACAGAGACAGAAAGAGAGAAATCACTCCCCAGGGGGGATGGCCAAGTGCAATCCTTTCTTCTCCAGTCGCCTCTCAGGATCTTGGGCACGCACACACATGCACCCGGTGTGAGTTTAAGCCACCAGGTCCGGGACTCGAACAGTGGTCGACTACATGGAAGTCCAGCAACATAGCCATTACGCTAACTGCTGGTCTCAATAAATGCCATTTTTAAAAAAGTCTCAAGGAACTGCTGGTCTCAATAAATACCATTTTTAAAGAAATCTCAAGGAACTGCTGGTCTCAAAAAATGCCATTTTTAAAGAAGTCTCAAGGAACCAGCAGTTAGCGTAGTGGCTATGTCGGTGAACTCCCATGTAGCCGACCACAGTTCGAGTCCGGGACCCCATGGCTTAAACTCACACTGGGCACGTGTGCATGCGTGCCCAAGATCCTGAGAGGAGAATGGAGGAGAACGGATTGCAGCATGGCCATCCCCCCTGGGGGGTGATTTCTCACTTTCTGTCTCTCTGTCTCTCTCTGTCTCTCTGGCGAGCGCATGTACCCTATAGCAAAAACCTCTCCAAAAAAAAAAAAAGAAAGAAAGAAGTCTCCCTAAGGAATTCCATCATATTTTTGTGCCATGCACATGACTCTCAGGCAGGAAATGCTGTTAACCCCCTCTGCCCATGGTTAACCCTGCTCTCTTATCAAAACCTCTATTGAAAAAAGGAGGGAGGTAGAAGAGAGAGAATATAATGACAACTGAAAGTCTCTCCTTCACATCATAAGTTCTCTTCCCCGTGTAAAGTCATAGGAACTGCACACCACACACCCTCACATAAGAGTGGGGAGTGGAAGATAGATGTGCACTGCATCCAATTCTACAATCAGGACAGCCGTGCAATGAGTGTTTTACGTCAGGAATTGAGCAAAGGGTTTTGCATCTACCATCTCACTCCACATGGCAGCCTTTGCCACAGGCGGAGTAGGACATTTCCTCCCTGTCACCAATGAGAAAACCAAAGAGCAGAAAGGTTTAGTGACTTGCTCAAGATCGCTTAAGTAGCAAAGCTAAGATTTGAACCCAGAACTGGCTGAGTCAAAAAGTATGTCCTCTTGGGAACCAGCAGTTAGCGTAATGGCTTTGTTGCTACACTCCCACGTAGTCGACCGTGGTTCGAGTCCCGGACCCGGTGGCTTGAAACTCACGCCAGGCGTGTGTGCATGCATGCCCAAGATCCCGAGAGGAGAATGGAGAAGAGATTGCGGCATGACCATCCCCTCTAGGGGGTGATTTCTCGCTTTCTGTCTCTATGTCTCTCTGTCTGTCTGGCAAGCACACGCGCCTTATAGCAAAAACCTCTCCAAAAAAAAAAAAAGTATGTCCTCTTTACCACTAAATTACACTATCTCCCTATTTATCTACCTATCAAAGAAGTTCCCAGAACTGGCTACATTCCTTTTAACCTTTGAGTAGTTATGCTGAAAACTCCTAAGCAGCATTCAGAATGTGACGAATTAAATATTATACTCTGGTTGAAGGCAAGTGCCAGTTATCCACTCAGACCACTGAGAAGTCAATTTCCTAATACATACACACAAGCACCTCAATGCTATACTGGGGCCATAGAATGTCTAGTCTGCCTTCACTTGTCTGACAACACAGTGCCAGACCCTGAATCATCCCACATCAGACACTGAAGCCAAAACAAGCTTCCTACCTAACCTCCTCCTACCAGTCCTGCGTTGGGGATGAGGTATAGGCTAAAAATGCTCTTAGGGCAGGGCAGGCACAACTGGAACCAGAGCTACCTCACTCTGAGCTACAGGGGCCTCAGTGTGTGTTCAACTGCAACATAACAGCCTTCAGAGCAACTTTAAGGAAATTTTGTACAAGCAGCTCTTAAGAAACAACAAGGCAGAGGATGATGTCAATGGGGCAGCAAGTTAAATGTGAAAACCTGTGCTGCACTCCATTTCTTTCTCTTTTTTTTGAGAGGTTTTTACTATAGGGCATGTTTGCTCTCAGAGAGCAAAAGAGAGCTGGAAAGCAAGAAATCACCCCCTGGCGGGGGTGGCCACATTGCAATCTCTTCTTCTCTATTCTCCTCTTGGGATCATGTACATGTGCCCGGCATGAGTTTTTTTAAGTTACTGAGTCCAGGACTCAAACTCCAATCCACTACGTGGGAGTCCAGCAACATAACCATTACTCCATCTGCTGGTCCCTCATTCCAATTCTTAGGGAGTCTCTCAGAACCCACAGCATTCCCTTATTCCACAGGCTCATTCTCTCCCCCTACAAGGATACAGAAGGAGGTTCTATTATCTAGTCATTAACAATAATCCCACTGCACAAAGGGGTGAGCAAGGGCCCAGGATCAGAACCCTCAGCCTTGTTCTGTCTGCAATGTTGACCAGGGCCTTGAACGGTGCTACTGACTCAACCATAAAAACAGATAGGGTGGGAGTGGGGGGGGTGGGGGGGTGCACAGGACATTGATGTCCATCTTCCCAGGGCACTTTCCTAGTTAAAAGTGGTACACACAGCACTACATAAAAACTAGTGGATATAGTGCACATCTTTCACTCCCCACCCTTAAGAACCCCTCTGGTTTTAGTCTTCAAGGGTCAGGGGGGAGGAGGGGAAGGGGTGTTTAGTTCTCAGGAAAGCTAAGGGAGGGCAGTCAGAGGTTTGATCAAAAAAAAGTATCTCTGTTCCTAAAACCTCCCTCTGCCGAATGCCACTAGCTCCCACTTGGCTACCTTGGTGCTTCATCACTCTTCTGTGGCAGCAACTACCCGTATGCAAGCCCAGCAGGAGCAATATTGCTACCAGAAAAGCTGGCTGGCACAGCAAATGCTGCCCTGCCTGCATGGCAGCCACAGGGGCAGTGAGGACACAGTGATGAATATCGGCAAAAAGCTGATGAACTACACTGTGGCAGCTGCCAGGGCTTGCCATCCACCTTCCCACAGTGCAGAATGCAAACAGCCTACTTCTGAGAGCAGTCCCAGTGTCAGCATGGTAGGTTCCAGCCAAGGACAGCTGGGACTGGGAAGAAGGGGTCAGAGGAGGGAGGACCAGACTCTAGGGTCAATGACAGAGGATAAGTCAGCTAACCTCTCTGAGCTGCAATGTTTTTGTCTGAAAAGATAATAATAATTTTTATTACTGTGAAGATTGTAAAAGATTATGCACACAAAGCACCTAGCATAGTACCTGAATCTGATAAACATGCTACAACTACTGGCTATTTTCATTATAATTTTAAGTCCTGAGACCAAGCTCAGGAAAGGGTCAGAAATTTATTGCTCCTGAAGATATCCCATTTTTTCTCTCTTTATTTTTAAGGTTTTTGCCATAGGGCATGTGTGCTCATCAGAGACAGAGAGAAGGAGAGAGAGTGAGAAATCACCCCCAAGAAGGATGGTCACATCACAAACCCTTCTCCTTCGCTCTCCTCTCAGGATTTTGGGCATGCATACATATGCATGCATCTAGCATTTTTTCCAAGTCACCAGGTTTAGGACTCAAACTGTGCAGTCAGCCATGTTGGATCTAGTCGCCTTAACCACCACGTCCATCACCAGCCAGCCCAGGATGCTCCATTTTAAAAAACAGGACAAGACCAGCCCCTATCTAGGCACGAGTTTAACAGCAGAACACCCCTATCCCACACTGGTGCTCAGGACTCTCTCATGAGCAATATTTCTGCAGCACTGAGCTGAGCAGCAGAGCCCAAAATAGCATCTGCAGAGTGAGGCACATGTCACTGCCTCTCCTCTGCTTCAGAAGTGCAAGGAAAGAAAGTTTTCAATCACTTGCTCAAAAACCACGGCCACCCACCACCTGCCTTCCTTCCAGGGCACTCAGATGCCACAATCTCTGTTCTGTTAGAAAATGAAGGTCCCTGAGGCCTGAGCAGCCACTACCACTTTAATAGACCACACTGTTCCTCTCCAGCAGGCCAGAGAGTGGCTATGCCTTCAAGAACAAAGGACATACTAAGATTGATTCAGGGTATGTTTTGTGGAGAAAAACCTGGACCTGATACCTGGTCGAAGAGCCTGCCACTCATGGGTTGGGTGAAACACCTCCAGGACTTCAGTGTCCAGCTCTTCCTCTGCTTTGGTTTCCTTTCTCTCTGTTTCTTTGGTGCTGCTCTTCTCTGGGTTGATCAGTGCAAACTCCTTCTGAGAAAAGAAAACACGGGGCATGATTCACCACACACAGACACCAGACAGGCAGAAAGAAAACAGCCTAAGGTAGCACACTTTCTCCAAGGCTCTCTTGCCCTCCCCAGATACATTTGGACACCCCCAATTGCTTTTACAAGATTAGCCTCAGAATCAGCATGTGTGAGTTGATATGGCCAAATGAACACAGCATGTTGTCATGGTACTTCTGTATATGCATAAAAGATCCATACCACCTTAAGGAACAAAATGGGGACAGAAGTTGGTGATGGAGACAATAAGACCCTTTTACTTTTCATTTGATATTTGACTTTTTTTTTTTTTTTTTAAGGTTTTTGCCATAGGGCACATGTACTTTCCTGGTTAAAAGTGGGACACACAGCACCATATCAACAGTGAATGCCATGCACATCTTCTACTCCCCACCCTTTAAACTGCTCTGATTTTAGACCTCAAGGGCAAGGTCTAAAGTGAGACAGAAAGAGAGAGGGAAAGTGAGAAATCATCCCACAGCAGGGATGACCATGCCACAATCCCTACTCTCATTCTCCTCTCAGGATTTTCGGCAAGCACACACATGCACCTGGTATGATTTTCAAGCCACCAGGGTTTAGAACTTGAGCCATGGTTGCCCATGTGGGAGTCCAGCATCTTAACCACCACACCACCTGCTGGCCCTCTGTTTGATGTTTGATGTTTTCAAAATTCATGTAATTACCTTTTTAAAAATTTAAAAACATATTTATAAAGGAAAAACACATATAGGAACGGGAGAGTAAGGCCCCCAAACAGCCACTACAGACAAATAAAACCTGGCAGCTGAGGTCCAGCTGACTCCCAAGCAGCCCAGCAGGGCAGCATATGGGCCCTGGCAGTTCCACAGTGTGCTTACAGGGCATCAATGACTTATTAGAATATTTCAAACCACGGAAGTGGTGTAAGTGGGAAGGTGGGAGTCCAGCTGGGCTGAGGGAGGAAAATGTCCAGGTTGAAAACCACTTCCTAAAATCTGTTTCCTTTCATCCCATGGAGAGCATGGAGGATTAATGAGATGTGTCTGTGGAGCATTCTGAGCTCAAGAGACAGAGATGCAAAATAAATACAAAGTATTACTCATTTTACTCTTTTCCAGCCTTTCAACCTTCCCATCTCATTTTTAAACTTGTTCTTGCATAAAAGTAATAAGGCCTCAGGAAATTAGAACCAGAGGGTTCCAGAGCTCTGGGAAATTACATTTGGGAGAGCAAAGAGGAACCCACATTAACACATGGGGAGGTTATTTCAGCCCTCCCACCTCCCCTGTCATCACTTTTCTTCTGCCCCACTTCTCCCCCAATAACTGTATTTCTTAGATTCCTCCCAGGGGCCCAAACCTACTATGAGTAGATCTCATTTTGGTCTTCCAACAACTTTAATCCTGCCTGAGAGAATTTATGTGTGTGCATCTCTTCAACTAGTGTCCCAGCTCCAAAGAGGGACTGCCACCCTACTGGGTCCCTGAGGGTCTGATCTTTAATTAGTTGTCAGAGGAAAGGTTAAGATGTGGGTGATGACAAGGTAGAGCCCCTCTGATAATTTTTACATTTTAATAAGAAATGAAGACACAAAATTTTGATGACAGAATTTTTTTCTTAAGGACTATTAAGAAAAATATCTTGGGCAAGAAGTCCTCAAGACTCAGTATAGTAGTTAAGAATTCAAGCTCTAGGTACCAGCAGATGGCATATTGGTTAGGTCACTAGACTAGACTACTATGTAGTCAACTGTGGTTCGAGTCCTGGACTCGGCGGCTTAAAACTCACACCAGGCATGAGGGTGTGCTTCCCAAAATCCCAAGAGGAGAATGAAGAAGAAGGGACTGTGGTGTGGCCATTCCCTAGGGGGGGTAATTTCTTACTTTCTGTCTCTCTGTCTCTTTCTGTCTCTCTGACAAGCGTACACAAAAATCTCTATACGTATTTTGCTATACATATACAAGCGTATGGCAAAAATCTCTCTCAAAAGAAAAGGAAACTCGGGAACCAGCAGTTAGCGTAATGGCTATGTTGCTGGATTCCCACATAGTCGACCGCGGTTCGCGTCCCAGACCCGGAGGCTTAAAACTCACGCCGGGCGCGTGTGCGTGCGCACCCAAGATCCCGAGAGGAGAATGGAGGAGAAGGGATTGCGGCGTGACCATCCCCCCTGGGGGGTGATTTCTCGCTTCCTGTCTCTATGTCTCTCTCTGTCTGGCGAGCGCACGCGCCCTATAGCAAAAATCTCTCCAAAAAGAAAAAAAAAACGGAAACTGGGTACTGTAGTGGTTAAGGTACTGGATCCCATATGGCCAACTATATGGATCAAGTCCGAACCCTGCACCTTAAGAAACCAGCCAGGTACATGTGTATGCATGCCAAAATCCCATGAGGAGAATGGAGGAGAAAGGACTGTGGCATGGCCATCCCCTCTGAGGGATAATTTCTCACTTTCCCTCTCTCTCTCTCTCTCCTGAGAGCACATCTACCCTAAAAAAATTTTTTTAAAGAATTATTTTATTTAAATTTATTTATTTAATTTTATTTAATTTTATCAGAGAGAGACAGTATGACAGAGAGATAGAAAGTGAGAAAACAAGCTATCAGATCTAGGACTCAAACTGCAGCACCCTTAACCACCATGCTACCTGCCAGCCTTCCATATCACACATGCACACACACACACACACACACACACACACACAAAATTCATGCTCTAGGGTCAACCCTACAGCCTCATGGTTAAGGGAGCCTGGATTCCACATGGCAGACTACAATACAGATCCTGACCCCTAAACAGCTTAAAACACATGCTGGGCACATGTGTGTACATGCACACTACTCATTAGAAGTTCTTTCTTCTCTCTCTTTCTGTCTCTGTCTGACAAGCACACATGTTCTCTGGTGAGCACACAACCCCACTAGCAATTTAAAAAGAGGAAGAATTCGAGTTCTACATCAGATAACTCAAAATTCAAATCCCACTTTCTTATGACTCTAGTAAAGTGACTTAACTTTCTAATATTATATATTATATTACAGTTTCATATATTATAGATGAAGTACTTGTAAATCACTAGCACTAGGTACATGGTAGCATTACTATTATTACTGATTAAATCAGTCGCAGGTTCCAGGTCAGAAAGATCTATGATGGAACATCTAACAGTGACTGTACAACATGGCACCCTTCAGGCAGGTCAGGCTGCGATGGAGGTCACCTGAGGAGCTTAGCCCCTTCGTGCCTCTGCTATCCCCTCAACTTAAAGTTTGCACAAATCTGAGCTCAAGAGAATGTTAGGAACAAAAAAATAGGTGTGCTTGTGAGACTCGAAAAAAAGACAGACTAGGGCTAGCCAATGATATGGTAATTAAGCTGGCTGAATCCCACATGGCCAACTATATAGTTCAAGTCTCAGACACAGCAGCTTGAAAAGCATGCCGGGGACCAGCAGATGGCATAATGGCTATGTCACTGGACTCCCACATAGTCAACCATGGTTCAAGGCTGGACCCTGTGGCTTAAAACTCATGCCAGGCACAGGTGTGTGTGTTCCCAAAATCCTGAGAGGAAAATGGAGGAGAAGGGATTGCGGTGTGGGCCCTCCCTGCAGGGAATGATATCTCACTTTCTGTCTCTCTCTGCCTCTCTGGAACGTGCACGTGTCCTATAGCAAAAATCTCTCTTAAAAAAAAAAAATAAAAGAAAAGCATGCCAGGTGCATGTGTGCCCCAAATCCTGAAAGGTGGGAGAAATGGAGGAGGAAGATTGAAGAATGACCATTCTCCATGGAGAATGCCTTATTTCCTCTCATCCATCCTGTCTCTCTCAGTTGAGTGCATGTGCTCTCTAGCAAATTTTAAAAAAAAAGACAATTACAGGCTGGCAGCAGGCACCCTCCATTCTGAGATGCAGACATCAAAGACATTTACCAGCTGAGTTTTCTGAGGGCAGGTACTCTGTTAGTTTCTTTATCACTGTGTCCCCCAATGACTAACACAGGGTTCAGCCTATAGCTGCTGAACGAATGAATGAAAGGCCCCTCCCACAGTGTATCTTCTGGGTGTCTTAAACTGAGGCAAATCCAAAGGACCTGAGTCTGCTGTAGGCAGACACTAGCCCCACATTTCAAAACAGAAACCACTGCTAAGTCTGTTAAGCACCTAGAGCCTATGTCCTTCAGGGCCCACCTTGTTGGCCAGTTCCTGCCAAAAGCACTAGACCAAGGGGCCTAAGAGAAAGTTAATTAAATTCACCTCAAGGATGTGTCAATCAAATGCCTCCAGGGGGCAAGCAGGAATGGATGGAAATGAGTGAAGTGGGCCAGGTGTAAACAACAGGGAGTGGTGGGACTGTAAAATCGGGAGCCCTCCTGCCTTGACTATGGAAAGCAGCTGCTACTCAGCTGGTCTACTGCACAGGCATTCAACTTGAAAACAGAAATCCTGATTTTTATGTGAAATGTTCTTATTTTTAGAACACTAAGAGGTCCAAACTAAGCATATCTAAGCTTCAAACTGCATTCTCCGACTTCAGTATACACATCAGCCAGGTAACTCCTGACAGATGTGGTTGTAAGCAAGCAACTAAATCACCATGAAGAGAAGCAGAAAGAGACAAGGGGAATAGTGCTGGTGAGAAGACGGCAGGAAACTCTTCAAAATCCAGGCAGGGTTAGTATTCATTCTGATGACTAGAGCCTGGAAAAGCCTCTTTTTCTAGATCTCATTAACAAGGTTAACAGAGTAGGCTCAAGAAGGGTTAGAATGAGATCAATGGGGACCAACAGTGGCATAATGGTTACACCGCTGGACTCCCACGTAGTTGACCGCCGTTCGAGTCCAAGACTCGGCAGCTTAAAACCCATGCTGGTCTTGCGTGCGTGCTTGCCCAAAATCCCAAGAGGAGAATGAAGGAGAAGGGATTGTGGCATGGCCATCCCCCTAGGGGAGATGATTTCTCGCTTTCTGTTTCTCTGTCTTTCCAGCAAGTGCATGTGCCCTATAGCAAAAATCCCTCCTTCAAAAATAAGAAAAAAAGAAAGAAATCGATGAACCACTGAACTACATGCTTCAAGCCCTAGGAAGGCTAAACACTTTGGCAACAATCGCCACTCACATGTCCTAGTATAACCTTTAGACCAGGTTTTAAGACACAAACACAAAATCTGTTATTATTTTACAGTATACCTTATTTTTTAGTGTGAGTGATACAAAATCAGTGCTCCCCTATCTACTTAGCTTATCTTTTTCACCATATCTGTCTCTGAGTGACTTTAGATGCTTTGGCCAAATCACATTTGGTCCTCTTCAAAGGCCAAGGACTCTGAAGCACTGAGAAAGAAGTTCTGTGATATCAACATACCATAGACTGGACATTCAGTTGAAAGGGGGATGTTCCAGAAAAGGTTTAAGGGAAAAACAGTATCATAAGGATGAGGTTATAACAACAGCAACAGCTGGGCCAAAGCCATGGCACAGTACACTGCCCAGGAGAAGCCACATACCACATGGCAACCTCAGTTTGAATCGCTGGCCTGAAACCTGCCTGGCAGGTACCCAGAATCCAACAGGCCGTAGTAGTCAAAGAAAGGGAATCACAGTGTGACCAGACCCTGTGGAGGGTGCTTCTCTCTCTCATTCTCATGTGCATGAGCATAAGCTCTATCATGAATAAAGAAAAAATAGAATAAAAAATAGCAGCAGCTACCATTTATTAAGCTCTGACCACATGCCAAGCACTGGCTTAAAGAGCCTTCCATACCCCAGTTCATCTGAACCTCACTTGTGAAGCACATAAAGATGAGGACGACCTATTCAAAATACAGTGTTCAGAATAGAGCACAAATTTAAGTCTAGACCCGCCTGGCTCCAAAGCCCACTCACTTTTATGTTTCTTTCTTGGTCAGGTGTCCAAAGGGTTATGACCTGGATACTGAGAGGGTGAAGCTGGGGCAATGAGATAACCTTAGCACATCCACCAGCAAACCTTCTTTTCCAAGCAAAGGCTTCCACGGTCAAAGTGAAAAACCTCAGTCCCAGAGAAAGGACAAGCAAAAGTACCTTCTCTCTACCCAGTATCCTGAATAGGAGAGACAAGCCATGAGGTAAGAGAGGCAGGCAAGCTCTTGGTCAGTTCTAAAGTAAACCTTCTGGCCTGGTGCTCTTCCAGCTGGCTGCTTAGGCTCTCTTTCACGCTGGATCACCAGCACTCTCTTCTCTCTACCACCATCACTCTAAATACCAATTTCCTCACAAGTGGCAGGCAAGAAATCTCAGCTAAGGTGCTAGCTGACAACAGCTTACCGTGTCATACTTCCTTGTGCTTGTATTAGAATAAAAGATTCTTCAAAACCAAAGCCTTCAAGATCCAAGAGAATGAATGAATAATCCCTAACGGTGGGTGGACAGACACTGTGGACAAAGTCTGCAGGGTAACCCTTTGGGACAGAAGCCTGCCTCATACAGCCCCAACTAACCACAGAGGCAGCCATTCCCATACTAAAAATAACAATTGACATTTACTGACCATATTGTGGTTCCAGTCCCAATGATGTTGTGTGTGTGTGTATACATACATACATATATAGTCACATTTAATCTACATTAAAATATCTTTTTTTGAGAGATTTTTGCTATAGGGCGTATACACTCGCCAGAGAGATAGAGAGACACAGAGAGACAGAAAGCGAGAAATCAGCCCCCCTGGGGGGGGAGAAGGGATGGCCATGCTGCCAACCCTTCTCCTCCATTCTCCTTTCGGGATCTTGGGCACGCACACACACACCCGGCATGAATTTTAAGCTGCTAGGTCCGGGACTCGAATCACAACTACATGGGAGTCCAGTGAAATAATTATTATGCCATCTGCTAGTCCCCTCTACATTAAAATCTTAACAAGGAAGTAGCAACCCTGCTTTATCTTACAGATTAGGAAACATAGTTTGAAAATGGCGAAATTGCCAAAGTAGGTGACAAAAGGGACCTTATAAAGAAACTATTCTCATTCTACTGGGCTCTACTACCTCCCTCATCACTCAACACCTTTTTGAAGGTCAGTATTATATAACCACAGCACTTTAGCAGCTACACTCCTAAGACGTGGCATCTCAGGGAAATGCCATCGCAGGAGCTGGGGAAGGAAGCTGACTCCAGATCATACACTGATGTACACAAACCACCTTTCCTAGGTGGCCATTAATTAACCTGGACAAATGACTTTGGGGAAGACAACTCCTGGTTTTCAGGACCATTTGCCTGGACTTCAAGCTCTGAAGAAAGGATCATAACCACCCCCATTCCCACCCCATTTTCGTTGTTGTGAAAGTGGCTGGCTGCATAATTTGGATTTTAAATGCCATCAGGGCAGCAATTTTTATGGTATGAGAGAAAAGATGCTTCAACTCCTACTTGTGCTTAGCACATGATGAAAGATTATGACAAATGGATACAGCTTAGGAACAGACATAAGGATAAAAGCAGCTTCTGTTGATGAAAGTCAGTATTAACATTTTTCTGAGACTAGACTCAATAGAGCTAATATAAATGGGCCAGAATAATTATGGCTCTGAGAGCTCATCTATTTGGTTGGACTATTATCCAAAAGAGACTTACTAACTCACGGTCCTTAAGTAAATTCATCAGCATGCTTTTGTTAATTGTGCATCTGCTAAAGCTCTTGATGGGGAGCACAAGGATCCTCATGAGCTGCATGTGGGTTGGGGAGGGGACACGGATCCTTAATCCTCTGAGAATCTCTGGTGCTTTTCTGGGCCATTCTATCTCCAAGTCATGCCAGAGACAGCCCCAATCTCACGCTCTAGCCAGTCCTACCCTCGGATGCTACTGGGAAGCTATCCTCTTTGTCCTTGAGAAAGAGGTCAAACAATGGCACCAAAAGGATCTTAAAAGTTAAAAAGATCCCTGACTCCTAGCTATATATTCCCTTCTACACCACAAAGTGGGGAGAAAGGCAGAAAGAAAACAAATGACTTCAGAGAGAAGGTGGAAGCTTGCCATGAGCCAGAAGTGAACCTGGCTGAGTTGAATTGTTATTAAATTCATCACAATTGTCATTTGCACTTCAAAAGCCTCCTGCTCCAAAGCCTCCAGCACTTTACCCAACATTTAGTGGGAGCCCCAGGGGTTGGGGAAGATGGTCAGAGGAGGGTAAAACTGTCAGAGAGCTGACAGTCAGGGGCTTCTTAAAGAAAGGTAAAAGGAGAGCATTGGGAGCTGGTTGTTTGAGCGGGCCGTTGCTGAGACAGGCCGGGAGGAAACAGGGCCAGGAGTCTTGGCATGCTGTAGCTAGGCCAAGCTCATGGCCTTTTTGGACATTCTCCTCCTGCCTGTGGCAATGACAGAAGCCCAGTGCAACGAGGCCTAGATTAATGAAAAAAGTCCTGGGGGGGGGGGGTGGGGGGGGGAGAAAAGGACAAAAAGGAGGAGATACAAACTGAGAAAGCATAAGGAAGAGAGGAACAGAGAAAAAAGCAAAGTCTTACTGGGACTAGTGCTCACCACATAGGCACCTAGCTCCTGGAGAGAATCCTGACCTTACTGGTAATACCACGAACAGGCTGTATGATTCTGGCTAAATTACTTTATGTCTCTGAGCCTTCATCGCCTTCTTCTCAAAATGAGAATAATTAAGGTTGCCTACCTTACAGGATTGTTGGAAAGATAAAATAATACATAGACTGTACTTAATACATTCCTTCCTACATGGAAACATTATTATTATATCATCTTATTATTAGTATATCATAATCATCTTGTTTTACTCACAGGGAAACTATGCAATGAGCTTTAAAGAAAGCCAGGGGACTCGAGGATGGGGACAATGAAGTAGACATACTCTGTGACCCAGTGCAGACTACATTCCCATAAGAAAGAAAAATAAAAGCCCACCTCACTTCCACAACAGCCTAGTGACAGGGAAGATCTCTCAGAAACCACATTAAGGACCCTTCTGCATACAATGAGGCTCATACCGGGTTCTGATGACTGAGGCAGAAGGTGAAGCAGGAGACCATCAGCAGCCCATGCACTATTCTTAGAGAAGCCATTCTAGATGAAGTTGGGCTCTGAGGAGCCATAGTTAGGGACCTGAGGGTGAAAGCACAGAAAACAGAGGTCAGTAGAAATCTGATAACTGGTCCCTCGACACTATGATTTTCATGATGTCACTTGTTCAACAGATGTCAGACATCTCTTGCATAGAGGTATTAGAAGTCTTCTATCACTTCTAGATAAATGTGAAGCCACCATTTCTCATTAAGAAGTCCAGTCACCCATGGGAAGACATGCCTCATGGTATATTGGAACTGTATAGTCAATCAGGACTCTTGTGTAATCTTTAACAGCCCTGGTCCCTTTCTTCCTCACTGGTGACTTGTTATCAGGTTGTGGAGGGTGGTGTAGGCTATGGTGGGAAAAGAGGGAAACTAACCAACTAATGCCCTTGTGAACAAACATGGGTCCAAATCCACATAAGGCTTTGTAACCATCCACCTGAAAACAGTTGGTATTAGCATCCACTAAGCCAGCAAACTTAAATATTCCCAAGCCACAAAGCCTTTCATATCACCTTTCATACAGTCAAACAAACAAACCAAGGTGTGGACCCTAGTAGTTGTTAACTTAAAAGGATGTAAGGATGAAAGGACATCCTGAGTTTATAGATTAGAGTTAATATTGTCAAGATGGCAACACTACCCAGAGCAATATGAAATGCAATCTCTATCAAAATACCAAGGGTCCCAATGATGCTTATGCAGAAATGGAGATGCTCATCTAAAACTTCATAAGGAATTTCAAGAAATCCAGAACACCCAAAACAATTTTGACCAAAAAAATAAAAAATTAAAATAAAAGTTGGAGGAATCACACTTCCTGATTTTAAAACTTACTACAAATCTACAGTAATCAAAAGTATGGTACTGGTATAAAGACAGACATCTAGACCAATGGGATTGTATTAAGAGCCCAGAAATAATCATACATATAGTCAATTAATTTTGACAAGGGTGCCAAGATCGTTCAATGGGGAAGTGACAATCTTTGACAATCGTGCTGGGACAACTGTACATCCAGATGCAAAAAAAATTCCCTTACACCATATACAAAAATTAACTTTAAAAAAAGGCCTAGCCATGGTAGTACATAATGGATGCTGCTGATCAGCAAACTGAGGCCACCCAGGGGACCTGGGTTCAATGTCTAGCACCCTAAAAAGCTTGGCGCAGTGGCATATACCCAGAGCACCAGTACTCAGGAGGCTGAGGCAGAATCATCACAAGCTGCACCCAGTCAGCGTAGATAGAGTAGCAAGGCCCTGTGTACAGAAGCACCACACACACACACACACACACACACACACACAGACATACACACACAAACAGACACACACACACAAACAGACACACACACACAAACACACACTGAATCAAAGGCCTAAACTTAAGAGCTAAAAGAATAAAATCCTTAGAAGACAACATAGGTATAATCATTGTGACCTTGAATTGCCAGGGGTTTCTTAAATAGGATACCAAAAGCACAGGCAACAAAAAATAAATAAAGTAGACTTCATCAAAATTAAGAAGCTTGTGGGCCTTAAATGACATTATCAAGAATAGAAAGAAGGGGCCAGCAGGTGGCGGGGTGGTTAAGGGCGCTGGACTCCCACATGGCTGAATGTGGTTCAAGCCCCAGACCTGGCAGCTTGTTTTCTCACTTTCCCTTTCTCTCTTTCTCAAGCCAAATTTAAAAATAATCATGAATAAAAATAAATAATTATTTTTTAAAAAAGAAAAAAGAATGAAAAGACAACCTACAGGATGGGAGAAACTGTGGGGCCAGCAGATGGCATAGCAGTTACTTTGCTGTACTCCAACATGGTCATCTGCAGTTCAAGTGCCAGACCTGGTGACTTGAAAATCATGCCGGGAGCATGTGCATGCATGTGTGCCCATACTTCCAGAAGAATGGAGGAGAAGGGATTGCAGTGTGGCCATCCCCCCTGGGGGGATGATTTCTCACTTTCCCCTTCACTGTCTCTGTTTCTCTAGTGAGTGCACACACCCTAAAGGCAAAAACCTCTTTAGAAAAAAGGAATGGGAGAAATTATTTGCAAATCACACATCTGATAAGGGTTAAAACCCAGAATACATAAACAACTCCAACAATTCAATAACAAAAAGATAGCTCAATTTTAAATTGAGCAAAGGACTTGAAGAGATAGCTTTCCAAAGAAAATAGAAAAGTGGCCAATAGGGAAATGAAAAGATTCTCAATATCATTGATCATTAGGGACATCACAAGGATGGCTATAATATTTATATATATAACCTTGTACATCACCAGTAGGTATGTAAAATGGCACCACCACTCTGGAACACACTTTGGTGGCTCCTCAAAAAGCTAAATATAGAATTACCATATGTTTCAACAATCTACTCCCAGATATATACTGGAAACAACTGAAAACTTGAAGAGATATTTGTACATCAGTGTTCACTGTAGCATTAGTTACATTATCCAAAAGGTAGAAACAACCAAAGTATCCATCAAGTGGATGGATAAAAAAATAAATGCAGGGGTTGGGGGAGGTCCAGCAAGTGGCATGGCATGGTAGTAAAGTGCTGGACTCTCATATGGCTAACCACGGTTCAAGTCCCAGACCTAGCAGCTTGCTTTCTCACTTTCCCTCTCTCTGTCTCTCTCAAGTCAAATTTTAAAAATAAACTAATTAGAATGAGTAAAATTAAATAATTATTTTTTTTAAATGTGGGATAGCTGGGTGCTGCAGTATGGTCCTATAATTCCAGCAACTCCAGGAAGCTGAGGCAGGAGGTCTGCAAACTCAAGGCTGGCCTGGACAACATAGAGAGACTTTGTCAAAAAGAACAAACAAATAAACAAAAAAAGTTGGCTATTGTAGTGATCCCAGCTGGACGACTGAGTTAGGAGGACTGCAATGAAACACTATATTTGAATAAAAATTTTTAAAAAGTAGCATATACATATATTAGAATGTATTTAGACATAAAAGGAAGGAAATTGTGACATATGCTATAACATGAACGAACTAGAAAACATTATGGCAAATGAAATAATCCAAACACAAAAGAACATATATATATTGGGTTGCTGAAAAGTCATGACATATTTTTCCCTATGTTTTTCTATATAAAAATGTGCCACGATTTTTCTGACAACCCAATAGTGTGATTCCATTTATATGAGCTAGAACAGATTTATCCCAGAGAAAGAAAGTAGAATAGAGGGTACCAGGGGCTGAGAGAAATGGTGAATGAGGAGTCACTGATTAATAGGTTTGGAGTAGTAAAAAAATGTTGGTCAGTAAACTAGAATGAAAATTTAATCCAAATTGGCAAATATTCTAGGGGAAAAAAAGGCAGAGAGCTGGGCCCCATAATGTAATAGCTAAAGGGAGCTACATCTCACATGGCTGACAGCAGCTCAAACCCAGGCCCCGCGACTTCAGAAACATCCTGGGCATATGCGCATGCCCCATATCCCAACAGGATGAAAAAATGAAGAAGGGATTGCAGCATAACCATGCTCTGGCATGTGCATGCGTGCTCTGGCAATTAAAAAAATAGAAAAAAATAAAACAAGTAAAGAAACAAAACCCTTAGAAAACATCAGAATGTATCAGTATTAGCATAGACTCTTACAAAAGGTTTTGTGTTTATCCCTCAGCCCCAATACACCTCATTAGGCATTTTACTCAATTGAGGCTTAAGTGAATTAATTACAGGGGAGCATTTCTGAAAAGTATGGTGTTTACCTTCTCTCCTTCCTATTCCTACTACACTCCTCCCTGCTCCACCTTAAGAAACTGGTCCCATGACATGAATGTAGAGGGACCCAAAGCCCTGTCTAAACCCACTCCCAGAATTTATTTATCCTCTGCCCAGCCCACACATGATCAGGGGCAGACAGAAACTTTCTCTAAGGACATCTGCAGCCATGAAGGAAAACAGCCCTGCTGGACCAGCACTGTGCTAAAAAAGCACAGCCAAATGGAAAAGCAAAGGCTTGGGTGCTAAAAATAGCTGCTACACTCACCCAGCAGCAAAAGCCTTTGCTTTCTGCCAGTTTCCCCCCTCCCCTCTTTTTGTCGACAAAATGGAACGGCTGAGTGCCATGCAAGCTTCCCCTAGCAACCTAGCTTCCTGGAGCACCAATCCCAGGGAGAGACAGCCAGTGGGTTCACAGTACCATACCAGGTTCTGGACAGGGGCCTAGCCATGCCTGAGTGTAAAAGGTAGAGGGGCTAGGCTGGGTGAGAATGAACAAGAGGCAGAAGTCACCATATCAGGAGGGAAAAGGGCAGGGAGACCCAGGGTGATAAGCCTTAAGAGTGCACAGCCCTGGGGCTTCTTATAATGTCCTATACCTATAGACTTCACTGTGAAGGAAACAAGGATAAAGAATGGAAGTGAGCGGCTCACAGCATTATCAGGACAACAGAGAGACATGAGCAAAAACAAAATTAACCCCAAAGCCACAGATTTCTCTTCCCTCACATCAGAGTGCTCATGAGTATATGCATGCACACACATGTTGAATTAGATCCTCCCTTCTTAAAGCCAGGGATAAACACTGAAACTGACGCTGCAGAAAAGGCTGAACAGAAATAAAGTAATGAATGAATGAATGAATGAATGAATGAGAAAGAAGTAGTCAAGGGCAAAGATGACACCTAGGAGGAGGAGGTCCAGAATGGACTGAGGAAGAAGAGGTTAGAGGTAGCTGATGCACAAATATCACTGCTTCCCCGCCTACTGGAGTGGGAGGCAAGAAAAATGGCAGCTCTCACAGGGCTCCTGGCGGCCTCCATCTCTTGCACGTACACTAACACTGTCAGAAGCATTTTTTGCCAATACTAAGGATGAGAGATCAATTCAGAAGTGGATCCTTCATTTCCTCTCAGTAAGTCCACATGGACTACACATCTGACCTATTTATTGCCTCCATGTATTTTTCCATGAAAGGGGACACAGAGCAGGAGTGAAGAGTGAGGGGGGAAGGAGGGCTGAGAAGAAACCTAGGTAAAATGAGGCTAAGAGAAACATGTA